AAAGAGAAGAAAGAGGGGGAGTGAGAGAGAGAGAGAGAGAGAGAGAGAGAGAGAGAGAGAGAGAGAGAATGAAAAGGAGACAGAACAAATTATCAATAATGTTGGCATTGAAATATCAGATAAAAGCTGATCCCCCACAGACTTCTGCTTCTAGTTGAACCCAAGGGAGCCATCAGAACAAACCAAAAAGCAAGCTGAGATGTTAACCTTGTGTTCTTGAGGTCATTTGTTTGGTTTGGGGATTTTAGTTTTTACTTCTCAATTATGTGTTTCTAAGCAAAGCTGTATTTTTGTAATAAAAATGGTATCTGGGCCAGGAGTAGTGGAACATGCCTTTTATTCTGGAAGCAGAATTGGGGATCTCTATGAGTTGGAAACATATAACGAGTTCCAGGCCAGCCAAGGCTTCAGAGTGAGGAGAGAGGCGGAGGGTGGGGGTGGTGGGGGTGGTGGTGTCTGGATAGCAGCCATCTTCTGGCCGCTGAAGATATTGCACTCACATAGTGTGCATACATGCAGGCATATGTTTATACACATAAAATAAAAATAAATAAATCTTTAAAAAATTTTAAAAGATAAAGAGGCCCTGTATAAAAAGAAAGATTAATAAAACCATTTATCATGGTCGGGCGTTGGTGGCACGCCTTTAATCCCAGCACTCGGGAGGCAGAGGCAGGCAGATCTCTGTGAGTTCGAGACCAGCCTGGTCTACAGAGTGAGTTCCAGGATAGGCTCCAAAGCCATAGAGAAACCCTGTCTTGAAAAAAAAACAAACAAAAAAACAAAACAAAACAAAAAACATTTATCACCCGTTTCTTTCATCATCTCACATTTCCTTCTCCCTCTTATTCTTTTTTGTTTGCTTTTATTTCTATGTGTAGCCCTGATTGTCCTGGAGCTCACTCTGTAGACCAGGGTTTCCTTCTTGTTCTCATTTATGAATTCGTGTGTGTGTGTGTGTGTGTGTGTGTGTGTGTGTGTGTGTGTGTTATGTAGATGTGAGCATGCGTGCTACAGTACACATACGGAGATCAGAGGACAACTCTGTGGAATTAGTTTTCTCCTTGTACCTTTGCATGGGCTCTGAAGATTCAGCTCGGGTCTCCAGGTTTGTGTGGCAAGCTCCTTTACCCACTGAGCCATCTTGCCAGCCCTTTTATTACTTTACAAAACTCTAATTTTTACAGGAAGTGACCTCTGTCCTCTCTCCAAGAAAGGAAAAGACAAGGGAAGAGTGATGAGACAGTGAAGCTAGTATGGGTGGGCTGTAAAATATCACAGGAGCCTTGTGAGATCAAGCCAGGGGCTCCACATTTAAAGCTCATTAAAGTACCTGTGAGGTGGCTTCCTATTGGTGGCTTCTTAGTCACTTGCTTGGGAACACATGGCTGGCAAGGTGACTGAGAGGCCCTTCTGAGGATGGTGTTGGTGGTTGAATTAGAACATCCCCACAGGTTCACTGTTTGAACTCTTGGTCCCCAGTTGGTGGCTCTGTTCTGAGAGGTGATGGAATCTTTAGAATGTAGGACCTTGCTGGGTGTGGGCTTTGAGAATCCATAGCCTTGCTCACTTCCTGTAGTCTCTCTCTGCTTCATGTGTGTGAACAAGATATGACCAACCAGCTTCCCACTTGTGATGATGGAATTTCCCTGACAGTTGCCATGCCTTTCTAGCCATGCTGGATTCTATCCCTCGGGAACCATAAACCAAAATAAACTCTCTCCTCCTGAAGTTGCTTTCACTGGGGTATTTTATGACAGGAACAGGAAAACAATTAATAGAGTAGTTAGCCCAACCAACAGAGGCCCCAAGAAGCAAAGCTGACTCACAAAGATACTGTATATCCCCATGGTGCGGTACCGCTCCTGGATGTCCTTGTACCTCAGCTCCATGACCAAAGATTTTGTCCTGATCTCTGCAATTGTTGCAAGGACGAATTTGAGATCTTCAAGGGTGTTGGGGCTCTTCTTAAGATTCTTGTTCAGGTGCTATGAAAGGATTCGGTTGAGGAGGAAAACAGTGAGAGATGAAGCCCACCTTCCTCAAGAATAGGGCTCCTAGTTCTAGCCTGAATGCTGGGGATGTGTGCCAGTTAGTTTTAATTGTCAACTTGATGCAACCTAGACATCACTTAGGAAGAGTATCTTAATGAGGAGTTGCCTAGATTAGGTTGACCTGCGGGCATCTTTGTGGGGAGGCGGCATTGTCTTAATTGCTAATTGACGTAGGAAGACCAAGCCCACTATGGGTGGCACCATTCCCTACATAGAGGGTCCTGGACAGTACAAGAGGAGAAAGCTAGCTGAGAACACACGAGCAAGAGTTCATTTATTCTCTCTCTGCTCTTGACTGTAGATATGACTAGCTGGACATGACTAGCTGCCTAAGTTCCTATCTTCACATCCCCTCAGTGATGGACTGTAACCTGAAATTATGAGTGAAATAGGCCTTTCCTCCCCTAAGTCATTTTTTGTTTTGGATATTTAATCACAACCACAGAAATGAAACAAGGACAGGAAGGAACCAAGGGCCTTTGCATGTGCTAGGCAAGGCTCTACCATAGACCTACACTACCACTACCACCACCATCACCATCACCCACCACCCTTGAAGATCTGTTTTAAATAAAGGTGACTTTGGGGCACCTCAATCTCATCCCGGAGGCTAAAAAGCTCCTCTTTGGCTGACTCGTTGAGGAGCTTCCCCAGTGAAGTCACCCAGGACTTTGCATTTTCTTGCACGGTGCTGGCCAGTGGCCCAAGCTGCAGCCGGATGCAGTGCTCATCCTTAATCAGTGGGTGGCGCATCACGTCTGCAGCAATCTTGGAGTAGAACTGCAGCTTCTCGTCATAGGCCACACAGGGCGGTTTCTTGGACGCAAACTTCTCCATCACGATAGTCTTGTCCAGCTTCCAGAGGGGCCGGTAGCGCTTCCACCTCTGCAGGTACTTCATGAGGTTCACTAGGAGCCTGTGGATATTTTGGGGGATCATGACAGCTTGATCCATGATCTGGGGGTTCAAGGAGATGTCATTGTAGAAGCTCACGATGACGATTTCTTCCTCCTCGCCCTTCTGAGGGGGGCACTCAATGCAGCTGCCATTCATCCAGCGTACAAAATACTGGCAGGAGAGCAGGTGGGAGGTGAGTACAGAGCACGCCTCCTGGGCATACACCTGGCAACAAGTCTCGCTATGATGGACAATCTCACTATGTAGGCCTTCAAGGCTAGCCTTGAAATCATGATCCTCCTGCCTCAGCCTCAGTGGTGAGATAACAGATGTGTGCCACCATACCTTGCTAGGTTCCCTTCTGGCCCTTCCCTCCCTCCCTGTAATCCCAGCACCAGGGAGGTGGAAGTAGAAATATCAGAAATTCAGGGTCCTCCTTGGTTACATAGGGAGTCTGAGGCTAGCCTGGGCTAATAATTTTTTTTAAAGTAAATTTTTAAAAAGAGGAATGGGGGAGGGGCAGGACTGGGCTATGGGACTGCTCCCAAATTTGATGGCTTCACAGAGGTTAGAGGCAGCTGACCCAGTGTCTGCTGGCACCTCTCCAACTGTGTCCACCAATGAGCAGGAGGCAAGTGGGCAAGCAGAAGGTCTTGCTGCTACCCTGGTGACCTCCACATTACCTTGGTAACCTCCACACAGTTGCGGGTGCAGTGGACACACATCTTATCGATCTCGGCGGCGTTAGGGTGGAGGATGATCTCCGGAGCCGTCAGAATGGTTTCAGCTTGGAACAGAGGGGTATTCCCAAGGATCAGAGAATTGAAGACCTGTAAGTTCCTAAGTGGGGGAGAGCAAAGGACATGGACTCAGGGTACGAAATACACCAAGCTCTGAGGGAGGTGGCAGGGCCTGGGGCCAGGGGCAGGTCTGCCACACACTGCAGATTCGTAATCATAGTGTGGGGGGGGCACTATTAATGCACCTTGGTCATTTCTACTTGGGGAATCAAATGCCTACTGGTGGGAAATAGTAACAGCAACCACGCCAGGTGGTGGTGGCGTACACCTTTAATCCCAGCACTCAGGAGGCAGAGGCAGGCGGATCTCTGTGAGTTCGAGACCAGCCTAGTCTACAAGAGCTAGTTCCAGGACAGCCTCCAAAGCCACAGAGAAACCCTGTCTTGATAAACCAAAATAATAATAATAATAACAACAACAACAACAACTACTACTACCCAAAAGTCATTCCCAGCAGCGCACTGCCTCCTGGGGATGTTTTCTGCTTGTCCATGGCAATCATTCAACAGGTGTCTATCCCCTTGCTTACCAAAGCTCTCTCCTCAGCTCTCAGGTTGCATGACAGGGCCCTTGTCTGTGACCAGGATCTAGTCCAGGTCCTGGCACGTGGCCACTTCTTACAAAGCTTGGCTGGATGGATGGATGCATGGATACACAGGTGGGTAGATGAATGCATGGCTAGATGGATAATAGCAGGATGGATGGATGATAGCCAGATGGACAGACGCATTGGTGGGTGGATCCATGGATGAAGGTATGTGTGTATATCAAAATGAATGGATGGGTAGGTGGTAATAGGAGGACAGATAGATGATGGATAGATGGATGACAGACAGATGGAATGGAGAATGGATGTGTGCATGCCTGGGGAGGTGGATGGATGGCTAATGGGAAGATACAATACATTAGGCAAACACTAGGGAGAGCAGTTCCAGACAAGGTGCTCTGTAGAACCTGAGTTTGGTTTCCAGTAGCCATGTCAGGTGGCTCACAACTGCTGTAACTCCAGCTGCAGGGACAGCCAATCATCTAGCCCCCATAGCACCTACACTCATGATCACATACGTGTAATTTAAAATTAAATATTTTAAAATATGTTTAAATTTTCAAAGAGGACACTGTGATGCAATGATGCCACCTTTACCAGCACGACTCAGGGGTCATGGAGTTGCTGCTCATGGGCTGGCTTCTTACAATGACCCCGGGCTGTAATGTGTGTGTCTCCCAGCTGTCCCAGATATGCCTCTGGGCCACAGGACCCTCAGAGGACAGCAGCTTCAGTGTCCAACTGTCACAAGCAATCAGAACTCAATACACAGTGACCATTCCAGCAGGTGATTGACTGTAGCCTCGGGGAAGAAGGCTGGGTCACCTGTCCTCTGAGACCATCTCGAAACACCTTCTGGGGCCTTCTGCTGCCAGACAAACCAGTTACCCTGTCTTCCAGAAGCAGAGAGGCACACAACAGTCTTTGTGTGCCAGAAGAGGCTCATAGGAACAGGGGCACAGAGGGCACCCCTCCCTGGTCAGCCACCCCATCCAACCTATAACTCATGCCCAACCCATGCATGACACACATGCATGGCCTTACTTCAGGATGACCTTCCCCAAGACGTCATAGATTCTGCCTTCCCAGTACTCATAGTAGGAGGCCAGCTTGGGGGCCCTGCCAGTGTTGGTGTGCACAACGAGCCCTTCCACTTTGGTCAGCAGCGGCCCAATAGCCAGGTACCACCGGACCATGTGGTCCACATCCTTGGCCCTTTCTCGTTCAATGTGCTCAAAGAATTCTTTTACACCTGTAGAGAAGGGCATGAGTCACATACAGCAGCTGTGACTCAGAAGGACTTCATATCAGAGCCTGTCCACACATCAGCCACGGGTCAGGGGCCATCCACACATCCACCATAGGTCGTGAGCTGTATGTACTCATGGAAATGGAGTCAATGCCAGAAGCTAAGACTCATCTCAAGAAAAAAAGCAAATGACACCAGATAGGGGCCATGGTGGATGCTGGCACCCCATACCAGTGGCTGTGATGTTTTTCTTCAATTCTTTGCTGACTAGTTTTGAATTCCTTATTGACTAATTTAGAACAATTTAAAATACGTTTAGCACAGTGAAAAGTAAATATGTACCCATCAAATAATAAGTTATCTGACCATTAACTAAGTCACACAGCTGGGCGTGGTGGTGTGCACCTGCAATCCCAGCACTGGAAAGTCTGAGGCCAGAGAATAGCAAGTTCAAGACCAGCTTTGGCAACACAGTGAGCTCATCTCAAGAAAAAATAAGTCAGCTGGGCATAATGGTGCACACTTTTAATCCCAGCACTCAGGAGGCAGAGACAGACAGATCTCTAAGTTCAGAGCCAGCCTGATCTACAGAGCAAGTACATAGACAGCCAGGGCTACACAGGGAACCTTGTCTTTTTAAAAAAAAAAAAAAAAAAAAAAAAAAAAAAAAGAAATCACTGGCAGAAGCATTTCAAAATCACTAATGGAAAGTGATTTTCAAGCCAGATACGGTGGCACACACCATTAATCCCAGCACTCAGGAGGCAGGGGCAGGCAGATCTCTGTGAGTTTGAGGCCAGCCTGGTCTACAGAGTGAGTCCCAACAACCTCCAAAACAATACAGAGAAACCCTGTCTCAAAAAACCAAAAAAATAAAAAATAAAAACCAAGAATCTGGAGGGCTGGGGCTGACTTGGTGGTGGAGCAGCGTCATAAGCTGTGAAACTATTAAGTAACACAGAACATGGCAGAGGGTGGGACATGGGACATGGCCATAATACTTCTAAGTAAAGGGCTGGGGTGGTTAGACTGGTTTATTTCAGTCACTGAATGTCTGGAGCATAGCAATAATCCACATGGGGTCTCTCTTTTACTCCATGACTGAGAAGCTGGAAGCCAAGCATACCTGGGAGCCCTTCCTCAGTTTTGGAGATTGGGTACCTAAAGAGGTTGACAGACTCGATTAGTGTAAGCCTGGAGGTGATGTCCTCTGCATTCTTGTGAATCTGGTGGACAAGGGACTCAAACTTGCCAATGGCCTGTTTGCAGCGATTGATGTAGTCAGAGATACCTTGGAGGAAGAGAAAGCAACTTGGTTCTATCTCTGCCATTCCTGGCCCACTCCCACCAGCATCTGTGACACCCATGGTCATGCCACTTAGTCCATAGACCCTGTTCCTGAAGCTGTGTTGACTGAGCAGTGGCTAAAAGCCACTCATGCCCAGAAGGCCTGGGACAAATATGTCTGGACAGGAATCCTCCAGGCTTAACAATATGGTTTCATTGCATCCAGATACATTTGTGTTCATATTTGTGTGTATACATATGTGTGTATGAGTGTGTGCATATATGTGTGTATGTGTATGCATGTGTTTATGTGTATGTGTGCACTTATGTAAGTTTGTGTAGTTTATATTCACATATTGTGATATTGTGGTTTTATGAGAAGGGATCATTACTTAAGGTCGATCTAGGGACTGGGCAGGTGGCTCAGTGGGTAATAGTGTTTGTCCTATAAACATAAGGACCTGAGTTTGAATCCCTGGTACCCATGTACAAGGTTTGGCAGGGCTGTGCACACCTATAATCCCAGCATTGTGGGCAGAGACAGCCTGGGCTCACTGGCTAGCCAGCTGAGCCAAAACGGCAAGCCACCACAGCAGTGAGAGCCTCCTCTGGCCTCTGCATGCACACACCACACCACACCACACACACAAAAATAACTATAAAAGGAACTGTAAGGTGACCAGGAACTGTGCTGTTACCTAGTGAGTTCCAGTTCAGCCTCTTGTACCCAGAGCGGAACACCCTGATCAGATCCTGGGAGTGGTCATCCAGGAGTGCCATCTCTGCTTCGTTCAGCGTGTTGATAAGCTGGTGGTAGTGGTCCAGCATGCGCTGGATTCCTTCCGTGTACCTGAGTGCCCGGCACAGGGAACAGTGAGAGACACAGGGCAGGACACAAGCTTAAGAACCACGGTAGCATGTTCCCCCAGAGGCCTGACTCACTGTCAACTTCCATCAGGACATTCGCAGAGGGCTGGGATGAGGCTCAGGGCCATAGTGTGTGCAAGCACAAGGCCCTTTCCATCTCCAGAACCATAGGGGTAAACCTTCACTCGCATCTGCAAGGAGGGGCCTGCTGGTGTTCTGTGCCCGGAGGTGCAACTCCACAAACAATACAGAGAGATGTAAACATGCAAGAGAAATCTGTGAGGAGACGGGGTGGGAGGGAGGGAGGAGTGGGGGAATGGCCAGAATGTGAAGTGTACGTAAGTGAAACTGTAACTATAATAAGAATTTTTTTAACGAAATGAGTTGGATACAGTGGTGCACGCCTTTAATACCAGCACATAGGAAGCAGAAGCAGGTGGATCTCTTGTGAGTTCCAGGCTAGCCTTCAATAGTGAGACGTTATCACAAAAATAACTAAAATTTTAACTTTTAATTTTTAAATAAGAATAAAATTAAATTAAAAATTAAGTAAAAACGAATGCAAGGAACAAAAGCTTTGAGGGAAGGACTGCACAGTCTGCTTTGGGAGTGTCAGGTAGTGGCATTGAAGGGAAAATGAGTTGATAAAGTGTTTCCCTTGCAAATATGAGGCCTTGAATTCAATCTCCCAGCTCCCATGTATAAAGCAACATGATGGCATACTCCTGCAATTCCAGAACTAGGGAGGTGGAAACACGCAGATCCCTGTGACCCATTGACTGGCCAGCCTAGCCAGACCAATGAGCCACAGACCAGGGAGAGATTTTGCCTCAAAAACAAGATGAACAGTATCTAAGGACAACACCCAACATGGACTTCCTGGCTCCCATGCTCATGAACCTGAAACACACAAATGTACAAGTGTGCATGTGCACACAGAGACACAGACATGTGCACATGCACACATAAATACACACATGCACATACAGACACATGCATGTATGCACACAGAGACACACACATGCATACACACATACACACACTCACACACATGCACACACATATGCACACAGACACTGGTGCATGCACACACAGACACACATACATTTAAAAACAACAACAACAAAAAGAGTGTCGAGAGGTCCTGAGACCAGTGTTCCCTCTAATTGAAGAGGGGTCTTCTCACCTGAGGAATTTGTCTTCCTGGAGGGCCACGTTCCTTGCCAGTTCAGGGACAGTGAATCCCAGCTGCTCTAAGTACTTGGTTTCGTTAATAATCTCTCTGAGAACAGGAGAGAAGTTGATGACAAACATGGCTCCCTTATCCACAGAGGATGAATCCTCGCCCGAGCAGGCAATCTATGGAAGAGACAATATACAGCTTGAAAATGACAGTCTGTCGCTGCTTGTAAAGCTCACTAGACATGATTGACAGAGACCAGTGTGGTCCCTTTCCCCAACAGATGGATGCAGAGTGGGACCAGTGGGTTGCACATTCTGTTATGCAGAGATGTTCAATAATCTAGTTTTGGGCTGGTGTCTCAGTGTGTAAAATGCTAGCTCTGCAATCAGTAAGACCTAAGTTTGGATTCTCAACAATCTGTAAAATTTCAGGCATATGTAAATATGTGCATACCACAAATAATATGTGTGTGAGAGAGAGAAAGAGAGAGAGACAGAGAGACAGACAGAGAAAGAGACAGAGAGAGAGAGAGCCTAGACAGGATTCTGGGGGGTTGCAAGGCCAGCCAGTCTAGCCAAATCCATAAGTTCAGTGAGAGAGACCCTGTCTCAAAATATATTGTTGGGGTTGATTGAGGAAAACTATGATGTCAACCTCTGGCTTCTGCATATGTGAACATTCATGTGAACACCAAACACACACACACACACACACACACACACACACACACACACACACTTCAGTTTAGCAGCCCTAGGTCCAACTGGATTACAGAGTGAGTTCAAGTGAGTGAGACCTTGCCCCAAAATAAAAAGGAAGACATCCAGGGCTATTTCTCAGCAGTAGATACCCTGCCTAGAGTCCCTCAGGGAGGGGCTGGGTATGTGGCTAAATGGTCATGTGCTTATCTGGCATGTACAAGGTTTTTGAGTTCAATCCTCAGCCCTGGGGGGTAAAATAATTCCATTTAGTTGCCAATATTAGAATATTAGGCAAAGCTCTATAAAAATGAAGATTTTTGGCTTTTCTTGGAAAACAGGGAAACCAAATTATGTTGACAGGCACAGCTAAAATTGGATAGCTGACACCCCAGACCTGAACACTCCAGTTCACTCTGCCCTCAGGGTGGCAAAGAAGTTGCCCACTAGAAAGAGTTTCAGGGACAACAAACACAAAACTTCCAGGTCAACAGACACTGACCTCCTGAGTATTGGCCACATGCCAGGCCCAAAGCCACAAACGGAGGAGGCATGTGGGAAGGTTTAAAAAAATGGTCATCTGTGGGGTGACTCAATGATAAGTTTCTTGCCACCAACCTGAGTTCAGTCCCCAGATCCCACTCAGAGGAAAGAGAAAACTGGACCTGCAGGCTGTCCTCTCATGCCTACACACACACACACAGAGGCCCACACATCCACATACTAATAAGTAATGTAAAACCCATCACATTACTAATAAGTAATGTAAAACTCATGTATGACTCAACTAGGGCTTCACAGATTTCTGTCATCCAGTCCACTCAATTATTTATTTAATGTGTGTACATGTATGTGAAGGACAGAGAACAGCCTTGGACATCATTTTTTTTTTAGATTTGATTTTTAGACAAACGCACACACACACACACACACACACACACACACACACACACACGTATATGGGGAATGGGTATATGCCCGTGAATGCAGGTACCCAGGGAGGCCAGAAGAGAACATGAGAGTCCCTGGAGCTGGAGTCACAGGCAGTTGTGAGTCCCCCCATGTCTATATAGAGAATCAAACTTGGGCCCTCTGCAAGAGCAGCATGAGCTCTTAACCACTGAGCCATCATTTCTCCAGCTGCATCTTTTCTTTTGAGTCAGGGTCTCTCACTGGATGGGAACACCCAAGGTGTGCACACTTCCAGCTGAGCCATCTCTCCATCCCCTCAACTTGTGTTATGAAGGAGGGTACTGAACCACCAAAGGGTCCTTGAAGCTGCTGCTGTGCAGGGCACCTCTGTGAGCACAGTGTGGAAGGGTGCACCTTGGTGAGAAGACTCTTCTTCATGAGGTTTGGGAGGCTTAGCTCCGTGTTCTCCTTCCACAGTTCATACTTGCGGTCTTCATAGTCCTTCATCGTCCTGCCCACCTCCAGGTACTTCTCTTTCACCTGGCCGAGAATTGAAAAATAAGAATAAAAACCATCATTCTGTTCCTGGGAATGACACCTTCTCCTCTCTCCACTGCCCTGGATCTTTCTATGTCTGTGTGAGCATTTTAATGTACTGTGATGTATTTTGGAGAAGGAAAGAGCATTTTCACAGATCTAGTAGGGTTTGCCTGAGATCATCTGACTTGAAAGCCAGGCTTGTTCTAGTGGAGACAAGCAGGCTACGGTCTATGCATGAGGAGAGGTGTAAATGTGTTTTAAGGGCTGGAGAGACAACTCAGCAGTTAAGGTCACTGGCTGTCCTTCCAGAGGACATGAGTTCAGATCCCAGCACCCACGTGGTGGATCACATCCACATGTCACTCCAGCTCTAGAGGATCTGATGCCCTCTGCAGGCACCTGCACGTATGTGTGTAAACTCCCACATAGACAGAAACACACAAATATTAAACGTTTAAATGGCTACAGGAAGTAAAGGGAAGCCAGGGGTGGTGGTAGACATCTGTACCCTCAGCACTCAGGGCAGGGGAGGCAGGAGAGTCACAAATCCCAGGTCAACCTGGACTATGGAGCAAGACCCTGTCTCAATAAAACAGAATAAGGAAATCAGGAGATTATTCATGCCCTCTGACATGTGAACACTGCATGGACTTCACACATAGAAGCCAGAACTGGGAAGGCCTGTTTGTCCATCCATGTGTTACCAAGAATAGCTTCCTTGGATCAACCTAGCAGCATGGATCATGACCTTCAAATGTCTCCAACATAAACTATATGGATTTTTTTAGAAAATTTATTTTATTTTTAATCATGTGTATGCAAGTGCATGTAAGTGCAAGGGCCCATGGAGGCCCGAGGTATTGTGGATCCTCTGGAGCTAGAGCGTTCTAAGCCAGAATCAAACTCAAGTCTCCTGAGGAAGTACTTGCTCTCACCACTAAGCCACCTCTACAGCCCCAAACTCTATAGTTCTTTAAAGAAAACGTCTGGCCAGGTGTTGGTGGTACATGCCTTTAATCCCAGCACTCAGGAGGCAGAGGCAGGCCAATTTCTGTGAGTTCGAGGCCAACCTGGGCTCCAGAGCGAGTGCTAGGATAGGTTCCAAAGCTACACAGAGAAACCCTGTCTCGAAAAACCAAAAAAAAAGGAGGAGGAGGAAGAGGAGGAGGAGGAGGAGGAAGGGGAAGAGGAGAAGAAGAAGAAGAAGAAGGAGAAGACGAAGAAGACGAAGACGAAGAAGAAGAAGAAGAAGAAGAAGAAGAAGAAGGAGAAGACGAAGAAGACGAAGACGAAGAAGAAGAAGAAGAAGAAGAAGAAGAAGAAGAAGAAGAAAAAGACATCTGTCAGCCCCTGCTTTACCACATACAAAAAGCTCTGGGGCAAGATATGGCCAGTGTCAAAAAGACAGTGGTCATGGGTTGAGCCTGTGGCTCAGTTGGTAGAGCATTTGCTTAATATGACCTCGGGGTTCCATCCCCAGCACCACACAAGCCAAATACGGTGGAACCCATCTCTAATCCCAGCACTTGGGAGATGGAGGCAGGAGAATCAGGAGTTCAAAGTCGTCTCAGGTACACAGAGAGTTCGAGGTCAGAAAGCAATGTAAGATTGTCTCAAAAAAAAATCTAAAAGAGAATGAATAGGTGTAGTGAGATATCCACCCCGCCCACATCTGTAGCACTGACCACACCCATTTGGGCATGGTCACAGGTAAGGACATGATGGAGGAGAGGACTAGAGCTGGGGTCCCAGACCCTAGAGCTCTTTCTTGCTTCCAGACAGGCAAGTCACAGAAGAGCAGCCTGAAAGAATCCTTAGAACGAGAACCTGTGGAAGCCACCTGTTTCTTCTGTAAGTGACTTCTCCCTAAAATACATTATATTTAATATTAATACCTAGTCCCATGAATCATTCTTTTCCTCCACAAATGGATAGAGATAGATAGATAGTAGAGATAAATAGGTGATAGATAGATAGATAGATGGTAGAGATGATGATGGATGGATAGATGGATGATGACAGTGGTCATCCTTCACAATAGTCATATCTAAGGAGAAGCAGGCAGCATGAGCACTGAGACTGGAAGAAAAGGAAGCAAGAAAGAGCCTTAAATACAAGGACTCAGGGAACAGGGTGTCTGTAGGTATGGGCATGCCACTGGCCAGCAGAGGTGGCAGCCACCCAGCTAGAGGTAAGGAACACAGCCAGCCTCCAGAGGTGGTGACATACCTCCTGGCCCCGACTGCTGTCCAGGAGTTCCTCAACTTCCTGGAACCTGAGGATGGTATGCTTCATCCTATGGAAGAGGGAGCGCTCCCAGGATATGGCACCCGCCACCGGGGGGTGGTTCTTGTACAGTGGTGGGTTGTCCAGGTTCTGCACAAAGATCTTATTAATGATGTCTATCTGAAAAGCAAGTGGGTGCCCTGGTCAGCCTGCCACAGGCCGTGCCCGGCAGACATGGCTTCAGTGGAGGATGGAATCTTGCAAGGGATGCAGATAAGGGCAGAGTAAGGCAGAGCCTTGGGCCAGCTGAGGCCCTGGGGTCCACCCCCAACACTGGCTGGTTGGGGGAACAAGAAAATTTAAATAAGATGGAGAGTATGGCCTTTGTTGTTGGCATAGTATTTACTACTTTTTCTCCCTTATGCTCTCCAATCTCTTTTCTTCTAAGTGCTCCAAGTTGTGTGCATTAAAATAGCAAACCACATACCCTATACATACTGATTTGACTGAATTATTTGAAATCCGTAAATCTCTTCCAGAGATGACCATTAGCAGATGTGCACTTTAAAAGAGCCCTCTCTGGGCTGGGCTGTAGCCCTGTGCTCACTGCCCAGGTCTCCTGGTTACCTCCTTGCAGTACTGGGCCAGAATGTCATTGAACTTCATCATCATCTGCCGGTTGATGGCCTCCCGGGAGCGGATATGCTTGAATTTTAACAGCATGTCAAAGGCTGCTTCTGCCGACCGCAGTGTTTTGAAAGATTCATCAATAAAATTTTTTGCTTCTTTCTCAATAACCTGCCAGAAGAAAAGAGAAGAATAAGAATAAAGAGAGAGAGAAAGAGAGGGAGTGGGAGAGGGAGGAAAGAAGGGAGGAGAGGGGAGACTGAAAAAAAAAGCAGCTGCTTTCAAGAGATCAGGGATGGGATCTCAGCAGCTTGGGACAGGTCTCTCCCCGGTCTCAATGAGAGTGGCCATCTGGTCAGAGGAACTTGCCAGGGCTGGGGGATGGCTTAGTTGAGAAAGTGCTTGCCTTGCAAACATGAGAATCTAAGTCAGGACCCCAGGCCCCATATGAAAAAAAAAAAAAAAAAACTGGTGGCCACACCTGTAACCCCAGCTCTGAGGGTGGGGGCAGAGACAGGGACCCTGCCTCAAAGGAATACGTGGGGCACAGCAAAGCAAGACAGGTGCCCTCTTCTGGCCTCTGCATGAGTATACAGATGCATGCAGCACACAGACAGACAGACAGACAGACAGACAGACAGACAGACGGTAAGCATGAGTAAACATGGGGAAGCCTGGCCTCTGCTTCTGTGGTTGAGTAGATGGCTGTGTCACTTGCCAGAACTTCAATCTTGAAGTCATCCATCACATATTTCCAGTACGGGGAGGACTTGATGCTGAAGGGGTCAAAGTTCAAGCTTTCCATTGGGGCAACCAAGCTGTCCACCCTGCAAAGGACATCGTCGATACGCTTGGGGTCCCCTGTCACAGCCTTGAGCTCTGGGCCAAATATGTTGTAAAATTCTTCCAAGACCTGGGGGGTGGGAAAGAATGGAAGGGAGCTAAGCATCCTTTGGTTTACTCCAAACATTCTAACCATAAAAAACATCTGGAGATTAACCTGAAGGCAACAGGCCCAACCCACAGGCAACCTGCTCCCCATCTGAGGCCTTTGGCACTATGCCCATGCAACAGGATAAGGTTCAGAGGCCCTGGGGCTGGAAAGATGGCTTAGCTTTTCTTCCAGAGGATCTGGGTTCCATTCCCAGCACCCACTCACAACCCTCTGCATCTTTCTCACTCCAGATGTTTCCTGTGTGAGGCAGCCACTCTGACTAAACATGACATCATACAAGAACAACAGAAAAAAGGGGAGCCTGCACACTGAGGTGGGGGTGGGGGCACTGGTGGGATGTGAAGAAAAAACAGCTGAACATGGAAAGTGATGTTGAAATGAGTGTGCATTTGTTGGTCAGTGGTGACGCAAGCACTCAGAAGGCAGAGGCAAGCGGATCTTCCAGTTCAAGGCCAGCCTGGTCTACAAAGTGAGTTCCAGGATAACCAAGGCTACACAGAGAAACCCTGTCTCAAAAATCAAAAAGGAAAAGAAAAAGCTTATGTATCATTCTAGTGACTCCATGTTAGAATAAAGAGATTTATTTATTTGCTTACTTTGAGAGAATGTCTCATTATGTAATTCTGGATGGCCTGGAACTCTTCAGGTAAACCAGGCTGGCCTCAAGCTCACAGTTGCATACCATTGCACTCATCAATTTTATATTTGGATTTTCTGTCGACTTTGCACCATATAAAGATGCACTGGAGCCGGGCGTTGGTGGCTCATGCCTTTAATCCCAGCACTCGGGAGGCAGAGGCAGGCGGATCTCTGTGAGTTCGATGCCAGCCTGGTCTACAGAGCGAGTGCCAGGACAGGCTCCAAAGCTACACAGAGAAACCCTGCCTCGAAAAACAAAAACAAAAACAAAAAACAAACAAACAAACAAACAAAAAAGATGCACTAGAAACCAGGTGTTGGTGGCGCACGCCTTAAATTCCAGAACTCGGAAGGCAGAGGCAGGCGGATCTCTATGAGTTGGAGGCTAGCCTGGTCTACAAGAGCGAGTACCAGGATAGGTTCCAAAGCTACATAGAAACCCTGTCTCGAAAAACAAAAAAAAAAAAAAGATGCAATGGGGTTGGAGTGTGGCCAGCCACCCAGACACTAAGTATGTGTCCCTCTCCCCAAAAGCTGGCATGGAGGGTGGGTGGTAGTGATAAAAGGAAGAGTTAAGGGCAATGAGGCCTTAGGGGACAGTGGGAAGGTGTGGGGTGGGGAGAACCACATGGGAATCAAAGCCAGGACAGGCAAGTGCCCAGGAGATCTCAGGAGGTGGTCTGCCAGCAGAGGGAGGTCTAAGCATAGAAAAAAAGCTGCAAAGCCTGCTGGGGAAATATTCAATCAGTAAGAAGCATGGGGACCCACATTTGATGGACAAGCATGGTGGCTCGTGCTCGTTATCCCAGCACTGGGGAGGTGGAGTCAGATAGGTCCCTGAGGGTCACTGGCCAGCCAACCTAAATACACATCCACAGTCACAAAAGACCTGGGGTGCAGCAGGACATTCTGGTACATTCTAGAATATTCTATATGTTCTTCTTTCAAAAGTTTCTATCAGACCCTTTCAGATCTCCAGAATCTACCCAGCATGGTATCATCCCCTATCCAAAGGCCAGAACGGTTCCTCCCATAAGTCAAATCCGCACACATCACAGACAACAATCCTACCTGCAGGACATCTGCGAGGTCCTGGCAGATGCTTGCCATGTAGTCTGTTCTCTCAAACAGCCGCTTCCGGTCAAACTCCCACCGTGCCTCCCGACCAGAAGCCTCAATCTTGGCGCGAATGTCGAAGTAGGATTTCTTCCATAGCTTGAGAGTGTTTCTGGCCTCCAGGGTTTTATGCTGGGCACTTGCTCTGTTTTCTCTGTTATGCAAAGAGATGTCAGGCTTGGAACAAAGACACAGCTACCCACATCTGAGCCTCACTCCCTCAGGGCATTGGTATCTGGGAGGTTTCTCATCCAGGACCTCCCTGGCACCAAGTCCTCCTCAGGGAATGTTTCTTCATGAACCACTACAATTTGCAGGGGCACAAAAGGGCCCCAATCTAGGCCCAGGCTGTCATGGATCATCCAACCTAGCTCCTAGGAAAACATGGTTACATGAGTAGGACAGCAGTGGCCTCGGTGCCTGTCCTCATGGTCACTGTGTAGCCTCAACCCTGGAGCACACATGCTGTGTGGACTGTGTGGAGAGTGAGAGAATGGCTGGGTGCTGCAGCTCCATGCGTACGTTTAGCTTTATGAGACCCTGTGTTTGATCATCATATCACAAACACATGAAATAGTTAAAAATCGTCACCCAACAGGCTATTCCTCCTGAGAGCCCAGGCCTAGGACTGAGCATGCCCTGGCCATTTACCTCAGTTTCTCCAAATATGAATAAGGAACAAAGTCCCAGTCAAAATCTTATACGTGGAGCTGGAGACACTGCTCAGCCTTGCAGAGCATGGGCTGCTCTGTCATGAGGGCCAGAGTTCAGATTCCATCATGCACTTCGGATGGCTCACAGCACATGTAACTAGAGATCCAGGGGATCAGATGCCCTCTTCTGGGCTCTGCTGCATGCACCTACACACATACGTGTGTACATTCACACAGGCACACACCCATACACATAAATAAAATAGGCCGTGGATGGTGGCACATCTCTTTAAGGCCAGCACTTGGGAAGCAGAGGCAGGCAGGTCTATATATCAAGTTCCAGGCCAGCCAGAGATACATAATGAGATCCTGTCTCAAAAATAAATAAATAACTCATACACACACATAATTGTGGGTTACAAAATATAATCATATATGGAATTGTGTGTGACAGTGTATAAATAAAATACATATGTTATATTTTAACAATTCATAAGAAGGAATAAGTTCAGGTGATGCACATATATCGTGGATAAACCTTGGAGATGGCATGATGAATGAAACAGCACCCAGAAACGACTTGGTGTTGTATGATCTCCATGCCTTGGGGCTTGGAGAGGGAGGAGGTTTGAAGTGACTGAAAGGTGCCAGGCTTCTTTGGGAGATGAAGAGAGTGTTGCTTTAATATATATGCTAAAAATGTGTGCATGCATCCACATAAGTGCAGTACCCAAGAATGCCAGAGGGAAGCATCAGATTCCCCTGAAGCTCTAGTCCAGGCAGGCAGTTGTAAGCTGCCTGTGGGTGCTGGGAACTGAACCGAGGTCCTCTGTAAGAGCAGCAAATGCTTTTAATTGCTGAGCCACCTACTCAGCCCCATAAAGAATGCTCTTAAGTCAACCGATATGATGGCATTTGAGTCTCCATGATGTTGTTTGGCAGTGCTGAGAAGGAAACCCCAGCCCTTGGCACACCAGGCACGTGCTCTGTTGCTGAGCCCCACCCCAGTCCCTGAACTGTGCTCAGCCTGGACTCCCAGAAGGAACCCCCAGGGGCCCAGGGGCTCCTCACTTGAACAGAGTGCGCAGATTGATGACTCTGCACACGCGCTCAGCAATCTCCCAGGCAATGCGCTCCATGAGTGGGATCATCCTCTCGTCCTTGTTGTAGTGTCTCGAGATGATCCACACCATGCGCAGGGCGCTCATCATGGACGGGATGGTGTCCAGGACCACGTGGAAGCTGGAACCGTGCGTGATGTTCTGCCAAAGCCAGAGAGAGGGGACAGAAGAGGGGCTTAGCCTCAAGGCCAACAAATAAATCCCCCCACTCTGTTTTTTTTTTTTAAACAGGGTCTTGCTATGTTGCCCAGGCTAGCCTCAAAATTACTATGTAGCGGAGGACGACCTTCAACACCTGATCCTCTCTCCTCTACCTTCAAGTACTGGAATTACAGGTGTGTACTGCCACCCCTGACTCCCAGAGAGTTTTTGTTTTCTTGCTTATCTATTTGAGACAGGATCTCACTGTGTAGCCCAGGCTGGCCTGAAAGTCTGGATCCTCCTGCCTCAGACTCCTGAATGCTGGGAAGATAGGAGTACTATGGTGGTTTGAAAGAAAATGGTCCCCATAGAGAGTGGCACTATTATTAGTGACTTTGTTGGAGAGGATATGGCCTTGTTAAAGAAAGTGTGCCACTGTGGGAGTGGGCTGTGAGTGGGAGTGCTAGGACACAGTTCACTTTCTGTAGCCTCTCAGCTCCTTCTCCAGCACCATGTCTGCCTGCAGGCTGCCTTGCTTCCCACTATAATGATAATGGACTAAACCTCTGAAACTGTAAGCCAGCTCTCAATTAAAAGTTTTCTTCTTTAGTGTTGCCATGAAGATGGTGTCTCTTCACAGCAATAGAAACCCTGACTAAGACAAGTGCATCACCATGCCTGAAACAAGTGGGAAAGCCCCGTGGATTGCCACACCATATAATTTAGGGAGTAATAACAACAAAACTGTGGTGTTCTGCACAGATGTAATGTTTTCCCCCATATATTATTTACCTGAAGTTGGCTAAATTGGTGGATGGGGACTGACTGTCTATTCATGGAGTACGCTCTCGAGAACACACACACACACACACACACACACACACACACGAGTATATTTTACATATGCCAAGAGTGGCATGCTCTATCTTTCAAGTATACTTCTGTCAGATCCACTTCCTTCTGTCCTCCTCTATCAAGAGATGTCATGCCAGCCAGGTGGTGGCGCACGCCTTTCATCCCAGCACTCAGGAGGCAGAGGCAGGTGGAACTCCGTGAGTTCAAGGCCAGCCTTGGACAGATCGAGTTCCAGGAAGCCAGGAATATCCACAGAGAAACTCTGTCTTGAAAAACCAAGAGAGAGAGAGAGAGAGAGAGAGAGAGAGAGAGAGAGAGAGTTGCCACCCCTTCCCCACACCCACAGGTCTGTGCGTGTTCCACTACTTGACCAGCCAGAGATGAGGGACAGTGTAGAAGACACAGAGGTCCTAGCACTCCCAGATAAGCACTAGGTAAGCCAAGGATGTTAAGATGCAGGGTTGTCTCTTCAAGGGGAGAGATGTACTAACCTGTGGTTAATAGGCTGGCGACCTCTGTGCTCTTTGTGGGCCCCAGCCACACCTGATCCCACACTTGTGTGTGCCTCAGTCTCTCTCCCTAGCCTTGAGCATTGATTCTCGGCCAATAGAACCCATTCTGATGGAAAAAGTCACCTTTTCTTTGAAAAGGGTTTCAATGGATTCATGTCTTAAGCTTTATTATACACACAGGAAACATTTTTTCCAAAATTGTGCTGTTGAAATATGCCTAAAATAAACTGTCCAGTGTCAGACTCTCAAAATTTGAACCAGCACTAGTGACTGAGTTGTGTTGAATTAAATTTCCTTCTTGCCTAACAAGAATTAAGACTCTGCTGGCCTTGTGTTTGAAAGACACACATACATACACAGCTGTGGGGTAGGTTAGGATGGTGTGATTTTTCCAAGCATAACTGTTATGAACTTTTTTTTTTTTTTTGGTTTTTGGTTTTTCCAGTCAGGGTTTCTCTGTGTAACTTTGTAGACCATCGGGCTGTCCCTTGAACTCACAGAGATCCACCTGCCTCTGCCTCTGCCTCCCAAGTGCTGGGATTAAAGGCGTTCGTGTTAAGAGTTATGAACTCTTAACAGAAAAATTTCATTCCATGTCTAAGAGTAATGACAAGCTTGCAGACAGAACATTGTTTTTGGAAGGCAAGTTAATTCTGTATTATCAGAAATAAATTCACTGTTAACCTTCTCTTTGTCCTCTGGAAGTAAGTCAAGATGGAGGAGCATGACCACTCTGCTACCCTGAAACCAGGAGACTGGGAGTTGACCAATTCCCCTGGAGAAGCCCTGCCTGGCTCTGAGCCTCCATGTGGAGGAAAGCCAAGGACACCCAGGCAGAAAGGAGCGGGTAAGAAAATCAGCCATTCTGGACAGGGATGCTCTACGCAGCCATCCAATGGATGACCTGGGAGGCAGAATGAATGTCTCTATGGAGCCCTTCCCAAATCCCCAACCACTACATGGAGACTGCACACCATCAATCAGTACAGTGACTGTCCTAATTAATGTCAGACATGAACTTGACACATCCTGGGGTCATCTGAGGAAGCCTCCATTCAAGGACTCAATCGTGGCCTGTGGCCATATCTGTAAGGAACTGTCTTAGTTGATCAATGTGGGGAGGCCCAGCCCAACTGTAGATGGCATCATCCCTAGGCAGGTGGGCCTGCACAACACAAGAACGAGAGCTGAACGGCTAGAGAGATGGCATGAGGCTAAGAGCACTGGCTACTCTTCAGAAGACCTAAGTTTGATTCCCAGCACCTACAGAGCAGCTCACAACCACTTGTTACTCCAGTCCCAGGGGATCTGATGCCCTCTTTTGGACAATGCAGGCTGGACCAGGCATGCCCATAGTGCACAGATACACATGCAGGCAAAACACCCATACACATAAAAAATGTTTAAATAAAGATTTAAAATGAAGAAATCCAGCTGACTATGAGCAAAGAGTGAGGCAGAAAGTCAAGCTCCTCCATCGTCTCTATTCAGTGTCTGCCCTGACTTCCCTCAGTGGCAAACTGTGATCAGCAAGTATAAGCCAAAGTTGTTGGGGGATCATCTTTTTGTACACTGTGAAGATGTGTATCTGCCAAGGTACTTTCTGATTGGTTTAATAAGGAGCTGGATGGCCAATAGCTATACAGGAGAGGGTAGGCAGGACTTCCCAGAAGAGATAGGAACTCTGGGAAGAAGAGAGGTGGGATTTGCCAGCCAGACACAGAGGAGTGGGATGCATGGTATTGAGGAGAGGTAACAAGCCACATGGTAGAACATACGTTAATGTAAATGGGTTAATTTAAGTTGTAAGAGCTCATTGGGAGCAAGCCTAAGCTAAGGCCAAGATTTCATAATTAATAGTCTCTGTGTCGTTATTTGGGAGCTGGTGGTCCAAAGAAAGACCTGTTACACAGAATGCTTTATCACAGCAACAGGAAGCAAACTAGAAAAATGACACATTGCATGCATATCTGAGGAGGAATCTGTAATTTTAGTCTTTTGTTTGTTTGTTTCCAGGCAGGCTTTTTCTGTATTGCCTTGGAGCCTGTCCTGGAACTTGTTCTGTAGACCAGGCTGGCTTCAAACTCGGAGATCCGCCTGCCTCTGCCTCCCGAATACTGGGATTAAAGGTGTGTATCAGCAACACTGGGCTCGTAATTTGAGTCTTTTAAATTAGTATTACAACTCCAAAATAAAAACAAGAGGTGAGGTAACGTGTCCTGGAAACATGGGGTGAACAGAGCTGTGCACTTTCTGTCAACCAGAAAGTAGAGGAACAGACATTGAGGAGCCCCACAAAGACAACACTCCTCCTACCTCTGATGGCCTAATCCTCCAGTGAGCTCTCTACCTCCTGATGGTTCCAGAACCTCACAGAACAGCAATACCGTAAGCCCATGGGGGACACTTCCACTCGGACCATAACACGGCGTGTTATGCTCATGAAGACAAAAATTCAGGAACAGGAACATAATTAAAAATATTAAAAGATAAATATTTAGGGGCTGGAGAGATGGTTCAGTGGTTAAGAGCATGTATTTTACCACCAGAGGACCTGAGTTCAATTCCCAGCACCATGTCTGGTAGCTCACAACCGCCTGTCACTCTAGCTCCAGACCAGAGCCTCTGTAGTTACGTGCATTCCTGTGTGTACAGACTTACATGTAATTAAAAGTAATAAAAGATTAAGAACACAGGAACAACTAGACAGTGGTGGTGCATGCCTTTAATCTCAGCACTCACAAGGCAGAGGCAGGTGGATCTCTGTGAGTTAGAAGCCAGTCTGATCTACAGAGCCATTTCCAGGACAGCCAGGGCTACACAGAGATATTCTGTCTTAATTAAACAAATAAGCAGACAAAAAAAATGAAAAAAAGACAAGGACTCAGCCCAGGCTATCCTCGAATTCACTAAGTGGCCAAGAATGACCTTGAATTTTTCTTTTTTTGTTTGTTTTTTCAAGACAGGGTTTCTCTGTGTAGCTTTGGAGCCTGTCCTGGAACTAGCTCTTGTAGACCAGGGTGGTTTCAAACTCACAGAGATCCACCTGCCTCTGCCTCCCGAGTGCTGGGATTATAGACATGCACCACCACACAGGATTTATGGGAATGGAAGGACACAGGTCCTGGGAATGGAAGTCAGGGCTTGGTGCATGCAAGGACTTTTCCAGCTGAGTCACAACTGTAGCCCCTCAGTGTAATTTTAAAAGTGACATCTATGCAGTGTCCCTCACAGAGCTGGTCTTCCAGAGTGCAGCCCACCCTTTGTACCTTGAAGTGACGTTCCACGGTGGACAGGAAGCGCACATTGTCTGAGGCCTCCATGTGGAGTTTGAACAGATCTGTCAGGACAGGCTGCACATTGGATGTGAGCATGGATTCAGCTTCTTTGAGCACGTCTAAAACCTTCCTAACAAACGGAAGCTTTGTTTGCTCATGGAGGGCACTCAACGTTGCATTTCTTTCTCGCCAGAACTCAATTTCAGCCAGAGGGCCATTGCCCTGAGAGAGAGATGAACACACAGACAGTGTTCGCTGTTACTGTGGAGACACCTATGGTCATTTCTACAGTGCCCATTCTTCTTTTCCCAACTGCTCCAGGCAGGCCAGGCAGTACGGGGCTACTGGGTGGACTTCTCATCTGGTGTGGGCCAATCAGATTGGATCTCAGGACTCTACTAGGAATGCAAGACAAAGATCCTGGTGCTGTCCACAGGGCCAGAAAGTATACATCACTGCTACAGAGGAAGGATTCTGAGGGTCCTGGGAATGGAAGTCAGGGCTTGGTGCATGCAAGGACTTTTCCAGCTGAGTCACAACCGTAGCCCCTCAGTGTAATTTTAAAAGTGACATCTATTCAGTGTCCCTCACAGAGCCCCACCAGCATCATTTAGGGAAGTCACAGAGTGAAAGAGATTGGCACGCACGGAGCCCTTTCTTGGGACGATGGGTCACAAGTGCTGCACACATTACCTGGGGTGTCTTCCTGAGCTGGATCTCCAGAGCAGATGAAATCTGGTTCATCCAGTTGATCACACACTGCTCCAAGGCCTCCAGCATTTCCGGGTTGTTCGCCAGCTCGGACACTTCCCCCTCCACACTGATGCTAGGCATTTCCAGCTTGATCTCACCTGGTGGAGAGCAACCAGTTAGAGCCTAGCTTAGGAAAAGCCCATAACCTTCAAGTTCATCAGCCAGCTCCTCTCCCCCGCTGATCAGGTCACTAGCCTGCCACCTCCTCTGTCTCTGCCTCTTTCACTGGAATATGGTTAAAACCCTCTGCCGATTGGCCCAGTGATTAAGTCCCATTGAAGTTCCATTGAGAAGTTCCTTGATTGACAACATAATGAGTTTGATTTTTACAATTTTAACATACAACCAGAGTTCAGTGGCTACTTAAGAGGACCTCACCCAGCAGTGGTGACACATGCTTTTAATCCCAGCACTCTGGGAAGTAGAGGCAGGCTGATTTCTGAGTTTGAGGCCAGCCTGGTCTACATAGTGAGTGTCAGGACAGCCAGGGATACAGAGAACCCCTGCCTCAAAAAGAGAGAAAGAAAAGAAAGAAAGAAAAAGAAATCTTCAGGGGCTGGGGAGATGAATCAGTGGTTAAGGGTACTTCCTGCTCACAACTCCTATGACTCAGCTCTGATCTAATGCCCTCTTCTGGTCTCCACTGGTACCGGCACTCACACACACTCACCCACCACATACACACAAATACACATAAAGTAAAACAAGTCTTTAAAAAGGGGGAAATCTCCAATATAAAATGAAGATAAATCATGGGTTCGGGGATATCCTCAGAAGAAATCAAGATAATGTAAAGAAGAAAATATTTAAGTCCTGGTTCTTTGTCTCGGGGGCTGGAAATAATAGCTGACCATTCAACAAGAACAGAATGCTATGAAAAAAGCAATGAGGATGAGTGATCTCAGATCAAACAGAGCAACCAGCAAGGAAAGCTCCAAGCCAAAGAACACTTCAGGCATGTAAAAACCAGAGCCAGGGAGATACCTCCATGGGCTAAAGTGTTTGCCACACAAGCTTAATGAACTCCTATACAAGCCAAGAACAATGTTTCATGCCTGGAATCCCAACACCAGCCTAGCCTAGCGGGCAAATGGGAGACACTATATCAAAAAAGAAAGTGAATGACGCCTAAAGAACAATGCCTGCACACACAGGTGCACCACCCCCAACCTTCCACCCACAGAGAGTGAAGAGTGAAGAGTCCTGGGGGAGCTGGCAGCATAGGCATGTCTGAGCTGCCTCACAGGGAGGAAGGGAGGGAGGGAGGGAGGAAGGAATGAAGGAAAGGAAGGAAGGAAGGAAGGAAGGAAGGAAGGAAGGAAGGAAAGGAAGGAAGGGAGGAAGGGAAAAGAAAGGAAAGGAAAAGAAAGGAAAGGAAAGGACAGGAAAAGAGCTGATTGTCCTACAGTACTAGTCCCACATTACTGGCTTTCCTGGCTAAGTACTCTGTCACCTTTTCCCTATCTGGGTCCCTAAACATGAGCAGCCAGCTCAACTCCATTCCCTCATCCAGCCAGCCTCTTGTCTCCTTGTTCTCTGCTCGCCACTTGTGCTTCCCATGACCCCAGGCTCTGGAACTCAGTTAAAGGGAAGGGATCAGGCAGGCACTGCCTAACCGATGACCACTGACAGTGGGTCACCTGAATTCCACAGTAGGGCTAAAATGAAGCTTTCAGATGAGGCCTAGTGCCACCTGCTCTAGGCAGCCCCCCATGATTGCCCCACCCTCTTCTACAGGCCTCCCACATTCTGCTACAGCTGGGAGTGCCCAGGGATGCCCTTTCATCACGGGGATTTCACCAGTATACTTCTAAAGAATTCCATTTCCAGTGAACATAAATGAGAGCTATTGAGCTGGGGATATGGTCCAGTGGGTAGAGCTCTTGCTTAGCATGTGCACAGCCCAGGGTTCAAGCCCCAGCATTGAATAAACTGAGCACAGCAGTATACGGCTGTAATCTTAGCACTTGGGAAACAGAGGCAGGAGGATCTGAAATTGAAAGTCATTCTCAGCTATATGTCTAAACTACAGGGCACCTTATCTTAAAAACAAACAACATCTGGGTGTTGGGAGCGCAAGCCTTCAGTCCTAGCACTGAGGAGGCAAAGGCAGGCAGCTATCTGTGAGTTCCAAACCAATCTGGGATATGTAGTGAGACCCTGTCTCAAAAAGGGGGTGTGGGGTGGGGGGGTCAAGAGAGATGAAATGGTTAGATTTTCAGCACAGACATGAGTCTCAATGGCCTGAAACTCCAGTTCCAGGGGGATCCCGTGCCCTCTTCTGGCCTCTGCAGCACTGCATGCAGACATACATGCAGGCAAATATCCATACACATAAAAGAATACGTTTTAAATTATTACAAATTGTTGGGTGGTGGTGGAGCAGGACTTTAATCCCAGCAATGGGGAGGTAGAGGCTGGTAAATCTTTGTGAGTTCAAGACCAGTGAGTTAGTTCCAGGACAGCCAGGACTACACAGGAAAACCCTGTCTCAAAAACAAACAAACAAACAAACAAATACAAAATTAAAACAAACAAAAATAATAAGCATTCTGAGCTTTTGCATTGCCTTCATAGGATGAATTATTAGTTCATCACAAATGGGTAGGGGAGGGAACAGAATAGACCTTCAAGCTGCTGCATGGTTCTTTGAATGTTGTTCACGAATTTCTGAAGATTCATTAGGAACTCATCACGTATCAGCTGGAAGCTGTGGTACTCCACCGTTTCCCCGGACTTGCCGGATATCTCTGGTGTGTCAAAAGAAGAAAACTCACGGGTTTCTGCAGACATTGTTCCCTGGCCTGACTCCAACTTGTGCTGGTTGAAGGACAGCCCAGGCAAGAAAACCTGCAAAAGTATAGCAATTTATGTAGTTAAAGTGCCCCAGGGTCTCCAGCTGTCTGTTAGGTTGACAGATGTGCAAATTGGTACTGGGCACACCTGTAATCCCAACATTCAGGAGGTTGAGACAGGAGGACTGCAGTTCAAGGCATCCTGGGCTGCAAATTAAAAATGATTTTGATGCAACAAAGGTCACAAAGGACACCTGGTTTGCTGGTTATGTAACATATGGCTACTTAGAATAAATTTTGTTTCACTCTGAGGTTGCTTTATAATGAACAGCTTGATTGGCTTAAGCAGCTAGCATCTCTGTTCTCAGAAGTCACAAGATCGAAAGATGTCATCCAGAGGCCTGGAGTGGTCCAGCTGTGATCCCAGCACAGGACAGGCAGAGGCAGGAGGACTTCCCATGAATTCAAAGCCAGCCTGGGCTAAAGAGTGACAGGCCAGCCTGTCTTAAACAGATGTTACCAAATGAACAAAGGCCTAGACAGATAGTGACCTCCTTCCTGTCCCACACCTCTCCAAGACTAAACTCTCCTGGCCTCCTTTGGAAGCAGGGGACTGTCTTGGGGATGCCAGTCTCTCTGTAGGACCCACAGTTACCTGGCAGAGGATGTCCCTCAGAAAGCGGAGCACTTCCGAGTTTATGATGCCATATTCCATGGTTTCTGGCATGATCTCCATCGCTTCCTTCATGTCAGTGGCTTCTGGGATTGCCTCTAATTCAAAACAGACCCAGAGCATGCAGTCAGTGGGTTATGGGGACATTCCCAGGTGTCCTGGGATCTCTCCTTCCTCTGAGAGGCTCTAGTCACAAAGTAAGAGGACAGACTGACTGGGATCTAAGCAAACCCTGTGCAAATGAGACTAAACTAGACCACACTGGACTTTTAAATTTTGTTTTTGGAGACAGGGCTTTGCTGTCCTGGAACTCACTCTGTACCAGACTGACCTCAAATTTACAGAGATCCACCTGCCTCTGCTTCCCTAGTGCTGGGATTAAAGGCATGCACCACCACCACTGCCTGGCCAAGTTTTTAAAGACTGTGGGAGTTTTAAAAATTGTACTTCACATTATAGTATTAACAAGGGGTCATGGGGACAAGAAATTGAGAGGTTCTATTTTTAAACGCTATCTATTTAGGAGTTGAAGAGATGTCTTGGCCAGTAAGTAAGAGAACACTTGCTGCTCTTGCAGATTTGAGTATAGTTCCCAGCACCCACATGGTGGCTCACAACCATCTGTAACTCCAGTGTCAGGCAATCCAATGCTCTCTTCTGATGTCTAAGGGCACCAGGCATGCATATGGTACACATAAAACATGCATACCACATAAAATTTTAAAAAATCTTAAAACACGCATACAGCCCATCTTCATACATACAGCTGGAGAGATTGCTCAATGGTCAAAGCACTTGTCTGATGCATGAAGACCAGGGTTGGGATCCCTGGAAATTGTGAATGCCAGGTGAATGTGGTGGCCCACTGTAATTTCAGCCTTGAAAGGTAGAGAAAGGGATTCCCAGAGCAAGGCGGCTAATGAGACTAGCCATATAACCCTCTCTGAGTTTGATTAAAACACTGCTCATCAAGAAGTGCTGGAGAATGATTCCCGATGTTAGCCTTGCCTGCCACATGCATGTGGACATGGGTGCCTCTCCACATGTACACGTACACACACAAACAAATACACACACATGCACATGTAACACACACACACACACACACACACACACACACACACACACACACACACACACACAGAGCGAAGGTACCTTTTGTGTTTCTGAGGAAGAACACCACATTCTGTTCCAGAAACTCCTCTGGAATGGGGCTGCATTGCACATGCAAGTCCAGCCTGTTGATGGTACGTTTCACAAGCTTCTGAAACAGACAGGACGCCGTTGGGCCGGCAGGTGAATGCTCTACAGAGTGCATTAATCTCTAGCATGAAGGGTCTCATTCCTGATAAGGACTTATACAGTGGCCACAGAGAGTCTAGTCACATCCAGACCCCAGCCCAAGCCTGCAGCTTCTACTAGGATTTCAGTTTCTACAGGGATGAGAAACTAGCTACCTTTAGCAAGTTGGTTGGTTGTTTCTGGGACTTCAGTGGGTATTGTTCTTTTGGCACTTGTGCGTGCGTGCGTGTGTGTGTGTGTGTGTGTGTGTGTGTGTGTGTGTGTGTGTGTGTGTGTGTGTGTGTAAGTATTCCTTTTTAAAAGATGTATTTATTGGGGCAGGAGAGATGGTTCAGCGGTTAAGTGCACTAGCTGTTCTTCCAGAGGACCCTGGTGCAGTTTCCAGCACCCTTATGGTGATTTACAAACATCTGCAAGTCTAGTTCCAAGGTGTCTGACCCCATCTTCTTGCCTCTGAAGGTGCCAGGTATGCAAGTAGTGCACAATCCTACATGTAGTCAAAACACCCATACAAATAAAATCACAAAATAGAACTTAAATAGATAAAGAAAGATTTGGGCTTTTCAAGATTTATTTATTCTGTGTGTATGAATGGTTTGTCTGTATGCATGTGTGTGTACCATGTGTGTGCCACTATATATGGTTCCTCCTGTCTCTGTAAGCCCTAACTCCTGTGGGACAGCTTTTCTGGCTCCTGTGAGTCCCTCAGTTGGTAATGAATCTAAGGGTGTTCTGGGAAATCTCAACACAAGATTCTGGAATCCCCACTCTAGCACACTGTGTCTCTTGCGTGTTCAGTGCCTGTCACCCTGTCTTATGAGAGCCCCCTGGGCCACTCTGCCAACAAGGATAGATAGAGAGCAGGGCGCACCTTGTTAACCCATCTGTCTAAGTGCTCTTTCTCTGGGTCATCGTCATCTGAAGTGAACAGGGAGGGGGTCACGGAGTCGCTTTTCAGCTTCGAATGCTTGGCTGCAAAACACAATGCAATCAGTTGAGATGGCCGGAAACAAGCGTTCCCACCATCCAGATGCCTTAGTATGACAGTTCCTGTCCTCCATCAATGCTCTGCAAAGGACAGGAGTGCAGCAATCACAGCATGCCACACCCCCAAAACTCTCCACTGTGGTTCACAGGTATATGCATCGGCTGTGACGTCCAGCGTGAGATTTCTCTGAGTGTGTGTGTGTGTGTGTGTGTGTGTGTGTGTGTGTGTGTGTATGCAGTTTTTTTTTTTTACCTTACAAGAGGTTTATGAATAAGAGTCACAAGGCTATGGGTGTAACTCAGCAGTTGACACTTGTCTATTGTGTGCAAGGCCCTCAGCACACTCAGCAGAAGGAACAGTGAGGTGTGATGACACACACCTGTCACTCAGTACTCCAGAAGTGGAGACAGGACAATCAGAAGTTCAAGGTCATCTTTGGCTACAGAGTTCAAGGCCAGCCTGGTATATAGGAGACCCTGTCTCAAAAAATATTGAGATGATAGCTGAAAAGATGGTTTAGAGGTTAAGAGCACTCACTGTTCTTCTGGGGGATGTGGGTTCTGTTCTCAGCACCCACACAGCAGCTCACAAGCACCTGTCACCCAGCAACCACACAGCAGCTCACAAGCACCTGTCACTCCAGTTTCATCTGTTCAGATGTCCTCTTCTGAGCTCCACGGGTATTGCATACACATGGTACACATACATACATGCAGGCAACTGCCAAAACCATACTTAGGTGTGTTTAATGTCACTTGAAATAGTTGAAGCTGGGCTAGGGTTCAGATGATGGATGGTTCCATGGGTAAAGTATTTACAGTGTAAGCCTGAAGACCCAAGTTCAAACCCAGCACCCTGTAGAAGGGCAGGTGTGGGGGATAGTACTGGGGAGGCTGAAACAGGAGGACCTGTTTCAGGACAGACAGCCTAGCATATTAGGTGAACTCTAGACCAGTAAGAGACTTTATCTCTGAGAACAAGGTGGACAGCTCCAGAGGAATGTCACCTAAGGTTGCCCTGTGGCCGCCACATATGCAAGTGAACATACAGTTTTACATGTGCCCACACACAGCACACTCACACACATACACACACACACACTCTCACAAATATACACACTCTTGCACACACTCACACATCTACACACACATTCTCTCTCACACACATACACACACACACAAATACACACACCCTGCCTCAATCTTTGCCTGGGTAAGGGATGTGACAGTGTGAGTCCAGACAGGGAAGAGTCCATATGATGGCAAAGGAGGGCTGGGACTGGTCTGCCCATAAGCCAAGGGGTGCCAGTGTCAGCAGCAGCTGATCAAGGAAAGCAAGGAAGTGAGGAAAGCTCCCTGGTGCTTTCAGAGGGGATATGGCCCTGGGGACACCTTGGGCCTCTGGACCTGAGGAAAGATATTTCTGTTGTTTTCTGTGGCCTATTAAGGCCATGTGATGGTAGCCCAGGGGCCCTTACACACATATCCCCCACCAGCTCCACAGACCCCCATGTAGAAGTGGCCTCTGTCCCTCCAGATACTCACCTGTCACTTTACCAATGTCCTCTGCTTTTTGAGCTTCAGACTCTTCTTCCTCAGCCTCCTCTTCAAGGATCATAGGGATTTCTTTTTTATGGAACCATAATGGGGAAAAAATACAAAATAGATTTATCTCTGTATGAGATGGTCGCACCTTTGCTTCAAGTGGAGTCAAAGGGAAGGGACACACACACACACACACACACACATACACACACACACACACACACACACACACACAGGGGAATTGTACATGTCACTGCAAAACATCACGGTGCTGGGCCAGCAAGGGAGGTTTGTGCAAATTGGAAGGTGAAAGACACACCTTCACCTGGAAGAAATGCAAGCAACCAGTGAGTGTGAGAGAGGCTTGATACACAACACCGTAGTATGCTTTGCAGCACTGGGTGCAGCCTGGAAACTGTTCCAATGAGCCCAGTGTGCTGGTGCAGGCCTGTAATCCCTGGACTCAGGAGGCAGAGGCAGAAGGATCGGGAGTTCAAGGCCAGCCTGGTCTACACAATACCCTATCTCAGAAAACAAAAGAGGGACCAGAAATGACCCAAGGGGTGCTCTGAAGTGAGACCAAAACCCTGGCAGAGTGAGGCACTCCAGCAGGTGGCTGACACAACAGGAGACAATTGCCTGGTGCTAGCTAGAGCCCCTGGAGACTGCAGGTTTTTTATTTGTTTTTTATTTTTTATTTATTTTTTTAAAACATTTATTTATTTTTATTACATATACAGTGTTCTGTCTGCATGTTTGCCTATACGCCAGAAGAGGGCACCAGATCTCATGATCGATGAGCCACCATGTGGTTGCTGGGAATTGAACTCAGGACCTCTGGAAGAGCAGCCAGTGCTCTTAACCTCTGAGCCATCTCTCCTGCCCTGTTTTTTTAAATATATACAGAATCCTATTAGCGTATCCTGAAATCGGTACTTTTATTTAGTTGTAATGAATGGGCCTAGCCCAGAGGCCCAGAATAATGGGTTCGGGTTCAAAGTTCCTTCTGGGGAAGAAAAATGAAGGCTGGGATGGTTAGATTCCAGTGAGGCTGAGGCAGGAGGATTGAGAGTTTGAGGGTACTTTGAGCTACACAGTGAATTCTAGGCCAGCCTGGGTTATGAGACCCTGTCTCACAATGTAACAAGTAATGGGGAAAAAAGAGAAAAGTTAATGAGAGCAGGCATAGTGTATCCTAACACTGTGTATCTCCCTGTCTATCCTTCTCCCTCCCATCCCTGCCCCTCTATGGAGTTCAGTGATCCTGAAACTTGCTCTGGTCCTTAGGAGATCCTACCTCAGCTGGGATTGCAGTCGGGCACCACTTTGGCCTGCTGCCACTTTTTAGAGTAGGGGGCCAGGCATGGAAGGCGAGCTCCCCTGAGCCTCTGCAGGCTCTCGCCTTGGGACCCTCCTGCTGGGAGGCATCTTACAGAATAAGAGATTCTCTGGGCGTCCTCCGTGTCCCGGACAAGTGAGCAGCCCTGCGCCGCTGAGAGAGAGGATGGCAGCGTCCCTCAGAGGACAGATGAAAACAGAAGCCACTCCCTGGACACACAGTAGGGCTCAGTGCCAGCAGAGTGCTGATTGTAGGCTGGCTTTTGCTTAGGCTCACCAATCTCCACCTCCACCTCCTCCGGCACCAGGACGCGGTAGAAGAACAGCGTGGAGGCGCCCTCCTCGTCGCTTGCATAGTTGAGGAAGTGCAGGATGAGGTCCTCCGCCTCGCTGTCGTCGCGGTTCAACAGGTCCTCGAACAGCTTGGGGTCGCTGAGGTTGAAAGTAGTGTACACGCGGTCGCGCATCCACAGGACCCGCAGGTCGTCCATGGCGTAGACCTGAGCGGTGCAGGACGCGGGGCAGACAGAGCGGCGAGCCGGGCGGCGTCCGTGGCAACGGCGCACCTAGCAACGGGCACCTGGGCAACGGCGCCAGCGCGGGGCAAAGGGCCCGTTCTGCAGGTAGAAAAGCTGAAGTGCAAGAAAGTTGGCTTGAAGAGAGGGAGGAATGAAGAACGAAGGGGTCTGTACTAGGATGGAGAAACCCACAGGAACTGTTGGCCTGAACAAGGGAGAGCACATCGACCCCAGATGCTGTCCAGGAGGCCTGTACAAGACTGATCCAGACCCCAGAACATAGATGTCAATAAGGAGGCCTCTGCACTCCAGGGAGCCTCTGGTAGTGGATTAGTATTTTTCCCTGGTGCAAGAAGGGACTTTGAGAGCCCATCCCATATGAAGGGTTACACTCTGGCCCTGGACACATGGGGAAGGGCCCAGGATCAGCATAGGAAGACTTGGTGGACTTTGCTGAGCTCCCGTTGAGGGCCCTACCCTGCCTGGGGAGTAGTGGGTGGATGGGGTTGGGGGGATGGGCTGGGGGT